GGCCCCGTTCCTGCCTTGGCCTGTACAGGAGGTGATTTCTGCCAACCTCTGCATGACAAGGACCGTTCCAAGCCAACAGCTAATACCCCCCTCCTTCAGAAATACTGTTGGGCCCAATGGGCTGAGGAAGGAGAAAGGAGAGAAGGTGCGCACCACCTCGTGGGGAAGTCTCTTTGCCGAACACCTGCCCTCAGGTGCCATGCTCAGCTCTTGTTGTCTCCTTAGCCCACCTGGCCATGATTGTCTGCAGGGAACAGGACTCACCATTCTGCCTCTTTCTGCAGCCACAGCTGTGAGCCATGTCGTCCAGTCAGGCTCTGGCCAGAAGCCTGCCGGTCCTGTGGGTTAGTTGGCGCTTTCTTGTCTAAATGAAACGGATATATTTTGTTCCCATTTGGTTACTAATGTTCTCTTCATTATCAGGCAGAATCCTGAAGAGGAGGGCCGAGTGGTGGGATTTACCTTTATTTCTCATTTCAGAAGAACTTCTAAAATGATCCCTTTAAATTGCTTTTCTTACTGTTAAAAAGCCAAACCTAAAAGCAAAACCCATCAGTCTCCCATTTGAAGACCAGAGCTTGCTCTCCTTTGAAGTCACCAAAGGTTTTCTACGCGAATGTGAAGACTGTTTCGTTCGGCTAATTATCCATCCGTCTCCACACAAAAAGGAGGAAGACTAGAAATCCTTTTAAATGCTTCTTTTATTTCATTGGTTGTACATTGGGTGAGTGAACTGAATATTACAACCAAAACATAGAGTTGATACAAATTAGACTCCTGTTTACACTGTAAGGTAATGAATGAGGGAATTCTTTAAGTGTTACAGAAAGATTTAGTAGAAATGTTACCAGTGGTATGGCTGAAAGAATATTTCTGTGAAGTGCTGTTATATCCTGAAAACCAAGAGTGAAATGTAGTTCCCACACAAGTGGCGAGTTCATCTCTTAACTACGGTATTTGTTGAATTGCTATCTTCATGTCTTGGATACTGGTGATTTTATTTTTGTAATTAAACAAAGCATTTAAGATTTATTCATCATAGTCAGACTTCTGAATATAAACAAACTTTTGGCAAATAATATTTATACAGAAAAATAGTTTTAGATCCTCTCAAATCCCAGAATTATTCTATAAAATTACATTATAAATAAATAAAAAGCAAAATCTGTTGTACATATATTTGTACATCTATGCATTTGCCTTGCCTCCTCCTTATTGTAAATGGCATATTTATGACTCTTTGCATATTATAATCACAATTCTGGAAAATGGATATCATAGTAAAAATACAGTCTTCTATATTTGTCTGGGGATACAGGTGATGTTTCTGATGCTCCCATTATTAAAGGGCTGAAAATAGCTGTGTGCTAATAATTTTAAAAATCAAAATCATGAAACAAAAGAAAGACACCGTGACAACAATTAGTCTACAAAAATATTTCAGTGATTCCTGTAATTTATCTTTTAGTAATGTATACTATGTTTTCAATGAGTTTAAGTGAAATAACAAAGAAAGAAAAAAGAAAAGAGGAAAACAAGTTTGAATGTTTTAGGTAAGTTGTAGCGTAACTACATTGTTATAGTTGAGAAAATTACAAAGATCAATAATACATAAAGATGAAACTACCAAAGAAATACAAATTAGATACAATACTTTCCCACAAATTAAAACAAATGCCACGATACAAGCACGATGTAAGATCACACTTATGTGATTTTCTTTCGATGGGGTTATCAAATCTACAATATAAGATGGTCATTAGACGTCGACTGACATGAATTAAAATGGTGGATTTCTTTTTTTTCTCCAACAAAAATGATATGGTTGGTGCATCTAGTTTTCAGAACAGGCGGTGATGCCAAAATTTAAAATATTTTACATTCAATCTCAAAAGTCAAAATACTTCAATCACTAGTATGTTCACAAAGAAAATGGATGTTTTAAACAATTACACATAATATTCATTTATAACAGCTGTTTTGTTTTTTAAACAATAATTTAAAAACTATGTAGGTACTGTATAGGCTATGTGCAACATATAAAATGTGAAATATGAAATATTTGGTACGATAGTGCTTAAAATAAACTTTAAAACAAACTTTCTGAACAAAATTTAATTGTATCGCTATTACCTTGAAGATCAACCAAGTATTTAAAAAAGTAAACAACATTAAAATATGTTTCATCCATATATAGTATATATATGTATGTGTATATATAATATGTATGTACTTGTATTAAAGTTTTTTATACTTTTGAGACATAAAATATGCTTTAAGGTGAAAGAATTAAAAGAACTATTTTTTTTTCCATGCTGTAGTCAGTTACAACCCTTTAATCCAACTTTTGAAATGCAAAACAGTAATGGATTTTTTAAAAAGTGAAACTATCTACTTTTTGTTTACATAGTAATTTAGATTAAAGTCACAGTCAAATTTTCAGTGACTAAACTCAAACTTACTTAAATTAGAATATTATACAGATCTCCTCACCTACAGCTTCGTTGTTTGACTAGGTTTTTAGTTTCGAAGTTATTCTGTAACAGGCAACCGGATGGTGAGTTAGTTTTTCCAACTAATCCCTTAGATTAGACTGTTGGCATGGGCCTCGTTCTTGTCAAGCTGGATGAAGTCTGGCAAAATCTAGGCACTTCTACAAAGTCTCTCTTATAAAACAACTTTAAAAATATACTTGTAAAATAATACCTTCAAGACTTTGTTTGGTGGGGTATGAAGTTCATACCGTGCAAAGTTTCTTTTTCAATCTAGTTAATGTTATTCTAGAATCACACGATTCAATGCGGCATCTCCGGGCAAACCAAATACCACACTGTGATGTGTCCCCCATACTTGTGCTTGAATTTCCATTCAAATTTTAGACCTGAAGGACAGGCGTCAGTTTTACTTCACTTCTCACCTTTGCTGCAGCATTCATGTTGTGAAGAAGCGAAACATATGCTTTGATCCAGTGGGTAAAGGAAATGACAGTAACTGGCGTTAGAATCGAACCTGCCCTCGGAACAGATTTCTTAACTAATGCTAATTGTTTATTGCTAACTTGGAAATATTCGCAATCGAAATGAGTACGTTGGTTGGGCTTTTCTGCATCAGCTATAGTTATGGAGATAAGACAATATTCCTAGGACAGAAACTATGTTTAGAAACCCTTGAAAAGTAAACTTTATCCTTTATGTCTTTAAACGTCACAGCTGGTCGCAGGTAGTTAACTATCTTAGGTTGGAATATACTAAGCATACCATATTTAATACTCATATATGATATAGCAGCACTAGCTTCTTACAGTTGTGGTCTGTCCGGAAGAACTAATTCTTTATTTAGCATGCAGTTTGTGGCAATTCTATTGAGGAGGAAACAGGATAGTATGTACAGTAACAATGTTTAGTTATTCTCAATGCAGATTCTTGGCATTCCATTCCGTGTCTGCTGATTATTTCAGAATTATCTGTTAAAGAAAAAGACAAGCGTGCTTTAGACATCCTTCTGTGAGGGAAAATAACGAGTTTAAGTTCTACTCTTTGCAAATAGGAATTTCCTTCAATTTCTCATTTTGATATATTTTCATCTTTTGAGGCAATCGTAATTTTGAGCAATCCCCACCCTTCATGCCGAAAAACTTTACACATAAGCTCTCCTGCCTTGTAGCTGCTGTAACAAATGGTGATTCGAATGCACACGATTGTATTTTCTGTGAAACTCTGACAGCGTGTATGTGGGCATGCAGTGTGCTTAGGCCCTGATCTCCTTTTCTAGTTTCTGCTTCATGTCTCTTTCTGATATGTTCCCATTATCATCCAATTAATATTTGCTAAGGTGATCAGGGAGTCTAATCAGAGAATTAGTTTGTACGGGGAAAGCTGTGGGAAAAGTTTAAATATATTTTTAAATGTATAATAAGTTAAGTGTTATTTATTTGTTAACTTGCATATAACATTCAGAGATGTGTTCCCATCAAAAGTAATTTTGTTCTCAAGGTATAATAACCACCAGTTTCAAATTCAGGGAACGTCAAAGGGAAAAAGGGGCAACATTCTAATAAAGCAGTTACAACATTCTAAATAAATCCAAAAGCACAGACAAAGCTAAACTATCAAATGCAAATCGTGGTCCCAGGAGCCTGATTTCCAAGTTCATTTCCAACTCCATACCTTTGCAAAAGACAGGGAGTTTGCCCTGTGTGACCCAGTCCTCTAAATGACAAGCTTTTAAAAAGCCAACCTTTTAACAAGTTCTAACAAAAATATTCTTTGTTCAATGCTTCAACCAAACTTTGTGCAATGAATGAAATATTTACTTATTAAACTGCCGAGAGTCTATGTTTAGGAAAAAAAAAAAACAGTGAAAATTCTTTATGATCAAGCTAATATTCCTGCACACTGGGATCCAATTCCTAATAAAAGCCTCATTTCTATGTATAATTTCTCATCCCATTATGTTAGAATTCACGTATGTGGATACTTTTCCTTTTAAGTGGGTGCTCCTGCAGTTTGCAAAGAACAGCTTTAGTATATACTCAAATAGTACCAACTCAAATAATTCCTCCCATGAAATAAATAGGAATATCCTTTAATTTACTGGAATGTACGGATTTATATGGAAGTGATAAAAGTAGAGGAAGAACTCATTTATATTAAATATTTATACTAAATGGAAACTCAAAACTTCAAAGTTCCTGAGAATTTAAAATTAATTGGGAAAAATTGCATTGTCTCGTATAATGATAGACAAATAAAAATGAGATGTAATGATTTGATATGTAAATATTATCACAGTATCTTGGAATAGCCACTGCCAATTGCCAATATCAAATTCGTCAGATGGTTCTATTATAACTTCACTTTTGGGTTCAGATATTTGATTATTAAATAGGAATTATTCTATTTCATCCCTTAGCTTCAGTTCAATACTATCTGTAAGGTTTCCAAATTAAGAACATGCCCCGGGACATCAAATTGTGTCTTTTTCTCTTTCTTCTTTCCTTTTACTTTAGCAAGACTCTCTCTAAGATATTTATGGCACAAAATCTTGCAAATTCTTAAGTAATATATATTTTGGAATATATTCATATCCTTGCTTAGTAAGTGACACTAAACTGCCATATAGAATGATATTCTTAAGCACCCGGAAAGAAAAGTATTCTACAGAAAGCCTAGCAACGGGCTATTATAGAAATTAGTTACAGCAATGCTTTGGACTCATACCTAACAGAGAGACATGTACAACCACCTGGGTTTAAGTGAATGGTAAATTAACCTTGGAGTTCACTCGGAGCATTACCTGGACTCACCCAGCTTGTCCTTCCCCTCTGCCCCAGCCTACATCGGATACATTATATGGATAAAGACTAAACACAAATAGCCGATACGTTATCAAGCTGTCTGCTATTACAGCGGCCTGGTGTCCAGGCCAGGAAACTCTGGCTCTACCCTGGTCTCTATCCTCGGCTACCTTGTGGACTAACCTCTGCGGTGTTAAAAAAAAAAAAAAAAAGAATTACTCTCCTGGCAGCTGCAAGCTTCAAGAGGTCCAAGAGATTTGATTTTAGAAGGTAAGAAAGCTGTGAGTGTTTCATTTTTTGGGTGGTAGCATTTTTCAGGAAAACATAATTTGATTATTAATTTTTTTTTCTGAGAAACAGAGCTGGCTGGTACAATCTGAATTAAGTGTTCTCTGCGGGGCGGGTGGAGACAGTCTGGAAATACAGACACGACTCCAGATGAGAAGCAGCTACCCTATGAGTGTCTCTGAAATGACCTGCGGCCCATGTGCTTGCTGTTTCTGATGTCAGGAGACTAGTGTGACGTGAGACACTACAGGCCGGAGGGCCCACGGGGGGACAGGGCAGTTTCCAGCTGGGGGATAGCCCTGGAGGGAAGAGAAGAGCCGTGGGGGGGGGGGCGGGGGAATTAGGTGTATGGGCGGAAGAGTGTAGAGAAGCCATTTCAAGGGAAAGAGGGCTCTTCTGTCTAGTTTTAAATATGGGTTTTCTTTAGTCAGATTATATTTTTAATTTGCACCAAAGAAACATAATTTAAAATCAGATGAATAGGTCCATTTGTGTGCTTCCCTGTTGCCTCTCCAACTTTACATGGATATATGAAATATATTCTATACATAAAAACGTCTTCAATCTCCATTGTAATTTTAATGGGCAGCAGGATCAAAACCTTTAGGGTGTCTGAGTATTTCAATATAGGTACGAAACATGCATTTTTAAAAGAGCAGGCTGGGGGCGCCTGGGTGGCTCAGTCGGCCAAGAGTCCCACTCTTGATTTCGGCTTAGGTCATGATCTCAGGGCTGTGAGATCGAGCCCTGCACCCGGCGTGGAGCCTGCTTAAGATTCTCTCTCTCTCCCCCTCTCCCTCTGCCCCTCCCTGCCTGTGCTGTCTTTATATGTGGCCCTGAAACATGGGCTATGAATCTGATATTGACAAGTCCAGATCCTGAGCCTGTCCATTTTAAAGTACAGTTAATTAAATCACAGTTCACCAAAGTGACCTCGACAGACCGGCTGATTGGCATCCTTCCTGCCCTGTGCTCACCAAAACTGAGACCAAAGTTCCTTTCTCAGCCTCCAGGCCCTGCAGCCTGTGTTTTCTTGGAAGGGGCAATGGAAAATTCTCCTGGGGTCTGCCAGAGCGAGTGTAAGTCAGAGAGATGGCTACCACGTTGGGTCCCCCAGAAATCCCCTCTCTGAAGCCTCATTGTGGGTTTTGTTTTAATTTCAATAGATGCCCCCTTGATTTTCCAGGGGGCTGTGAGTGGTTTTTGCCAGAACCCTGAGAGCTAGGTTAGTATTGCCAGTCATACTGTTGTAGACATAGAGAAGTCAGCGCAAGTTTGCACGACGTAAAAGTGCTTGTGCAAGCCAGTGTGAGTTAGGGATGTTAGCTCACTCCTCCTGCTGGCACGGAGTCCCCTCCAGGGTGTAGTGACAGTCTGCACTGACCAGGGGAAACAGTGGTTCCGAAGGCTCTACCTCGCACGGTGCCAGTGGAGATCAGTGCTCAGAACCGCCGTGGGAGCCTGGGAACCAGGGAGAGGGGCGGCCATGGGGCGGGGTCTAGAGCAAACCGCGAGCAGCGACTGTGCGGATGGGTAGAAACCGCGGAGGGACCGTGGGGCTGCGGCACCCCTCCCCGGGAAGGCCTTGCCTGCGTGGCCAACCACACCCTACCCCGGGGCCTCCTCCAGACGGATGTCGCACACACGTCTGCTCAGGGCGGCGGAAGCCCCGCCCCAGTCACAGGTCCGCTGTTCCAGCTTCTGAGGACCCTGGCACCATATATGACAGGGCAAAAATCAAATGTATTGAACAGGATGTACTTCTGTTCATCTTTCTGACAAACTCGCCTCTTAAATTTAAGGATCTTCTCATATAAGGAGAACCATGATGAACAAGGGGGATAAACGGCTAACATAAGATTTTAGTCAATCTGGTATGGTAAATCAAAATTCTGAACTTTGGAAAGGATTACTTTTCATTCCTTTCTCAACTAAAAGGAGAACACACAAAAAATGGGACTAGCTGATGCCCACGAAATCGGCAATTCTATTTTTAAAACAAAGACAGGCTTGAGCTCAAAGCACTAGTGCATGCGTGAATCTTCGGTGGACCCTCTGGGTGGAGCAAGAGTATCTGTGATGCAAAAATGTAAGTTGGCTGCAGTGGAATCTACTTGTTAATTAGCATGTCCTTCAGGTGGTCGGATCTCAGAATCGGCCGATTCTGCTTCATCCACATCCTTAAATTGTTCCCATACGAACCCAGTACACAAGTAGCCTAATATTTATTTACTGTAGACAAAGCGTGAATGGCCCCAAGGAACATCAGATGGGTTGCTTTCCCATGAAATGTGTGGGTGGGCAGTCATTTAATAATCTCTGCGTCCTTGGTGAAGTGCCTACCACTGACTCGTGGTGCAATGGCAGTCAAGTTTATTAAAAAGAAGACTGGGTCCCTGTATGGTAAACCTACTGACTGGGGGGCCCCAGCAGGAAGTGCACGTAAGTGAGTGGGTCAGGTAGGGAGCGTGGCAGATGGAAGGCCCCGTGCCTACAAGGAATGGAGGAGCAGCTAATCAGCTCCAGCCAGTTGTTATGTGCAGAAACCCGCTTGACCTTACACTGCTTGACCTTTCCATTTTCCAAAAGAAGCTGGAAATTCAGCAACTAATTCTCATTACAGAAAATAACTGTGTGGTCCAAATATCTCTTTAGGCTGTGTCCTCTTTGAGCCTTACCTACTGGGAGGAGCTATCCACTAAGCCTGGATCGCTAGCTTCCTGAGCCCGGCAGAGGCCAAGGCTGTAGGCAACACGGAGGGAGCCAGCAGTCACCACTGCTGGGCGGGATTGGGGGAGGGGGTCTAATGGGGAGTTAATCCTGCAACTTGCACACATCGCACTTTCACCCAAAGGAACAGGGTACTTGACCAACAGGCT